TACAGTTTGCTACTATAAGATATCAGCCTGAGAAGCAAGGGGTTTTTATATTAGTAAACTCTTTCATGGCCCCAAACCGGCACTGCATCTTGTGTAAGATGGTTCACAACTTACACAAAGAACTAAGAGTTTTGACTAGTAATTTCTTGCAACACATGATAATTGATTCATAAGTATTAAAGACAAATTTTCTGTAGGAATAGTTTTGCCTGGATTATTTTAAAGACAAAATCCCATTAAATAACTATTGGCAGGAAATCGGTCTTTGGTTGTTTCATCAATTAAGAAAGCTCCTGATACCCAGAGGGGCAATGTCCACTTGAAAACCCCATTGCTGCCTCAGGAGGAAAAGGCATGCACATAGAAGACACACTCACACTGAATGAGTGCAGTTCCATTCTCTCACCTGTTTGTCTTGTGGAAACCTTTTATTCGTAGAGAAGTCCTTTAAGAGACAAATCCATACAGAGTAGAGAAGATTGAGGAGTTCAAAGACAGAGTTTGTACTGACATAAAGGTAAAACTGATGTTTGCTTAAAGTCACATTCACATTATGTTTTAAGAAAGAGTTCTCAGATTACAAGTGGAATAACCACAGATACAAAAGAATAAAGTTACTAGACTTCAATCAAAAAATAAGACAACACTGGTGCTACAAATATTTGTGAATCAGTCTCTTGACTTCCAGCACAATGTCTAAATGTAATATGCAACTTTAAAGAAAAACAAAGCAAAACTTAAACTATTACTGTTTAATGGAGAGCATTTTTCAGGCTTAAAGGTTTACTAAAGACTTTTAAAAATCCAATGAATGATATTTTAATATTTGAACCATGCCCTTAGCCACCATTGAGTTCATCCTTCACCATGATCAACTCCATGAGAGCAAGAGGTCTATTGATTTTCATGTAATACAAGAAAATATTACATTTGCTTAATTGTTACACAGTGAGCACATCAGACAAGAAATCAAGGTTCTATTTAATGCTGCAAGCAGCAGAGAATTACAGAGATCAATAGGGTAGTTTGTCAAAGATGTTCTCCAAGGAGACTTACCTATCACCATATAGACAAGAAGTCATACTGACTGTAGCTATTGAAAAACAAGTAAGCAGAGTCAGCAGTACAAATTATCAGAAATCAAACAGGCCAGTGTGAAAAGAGGTGCAACTCTACTGAAAAGAAGTATTTATAGTCTGGTAATTAAAAACCATTTTATCAGCCTTGGGTTGGCACCAAACCTTCACAGTTAGTATTGACAAGAGCAGCAGCAATGAAGAAGCAGTATTTGACTTAAAACTTATGAGCTATAGTTATTTAACTTTGCCCATTACAGAGGAAATCAGTTCTAGCCTTCCTTGCAAAATGCTAATAGTCAGTTTTATTATTAATGAAGCTTAATGTAACACTATCTCCTTTGTGTAACCATTCATTTAACTAGTGTCAAGTATATTCTTCTGGACTAAATATATTGGCATAAATACTTCTTTGATTAAAGTGTTACTTAGAATTGCTTTTAGACAAGTGAACACTATATTTGAAGAACAGTTGACTCTGTGTAGCGTCTTTGATAGTCACCTTATTCAGGGTGTCTATGAGTCGGAACCAACTCACCACCACCACCACCACCTTTAACACTGCCAGTTTGTGTAACTTCTTTCTTCCGGTGCTTCCACTCCTATCACCTCCACTCACTCCCCCACTGACTTGCTAAGAGTAAGCATCCAAATGTTAGATTGAATTTTGCTAAAGAATTTTGTAACAAATTTTACTACAAAAATGTGCAAATGTTGCAGAGTATCAGCAACATCATAACAAAATGATACATATATTTATGAGAAAGATAATAAATCTTAAATACCTGTTGATTTAGAAACTAAATAGCTCTACAGTCCTGGTGTCCCAGAGTCCTGGTGTGGTGCTGTGGGTTAATGCGCTGGACTGCAAAGTCGGTTTGAACTTCAAGGTTGGTGGATCAAGCTCACCAGCTGCTCCTCGGAAACTCTTTACGGGGTCGCTATGGGTCGGAACTGACTCGACGGCACTTAACTACAACAACAGCCATGTGTCACTGCAGGTTCATGCACTGGACTGCAAGGTGGGTTTGAACCGCAGTGTCGGTGGTTCAAGCTCACCAGCCGCTCCTTGGAAACCCTATACAGGGTCGCTGAGTCGGAGCCAACATGATGGCACTTCAATCACGTGCTGTTTAATGTCCACAATTTATCCGTGAAATAAGATGTTATAGGACTTGGATGTTAGCAAACACCATGTGTGTACACTAATTCATAGTCTGACCTTGCTTTTTCTTTAAGAATCTTTAACAAGCTTTGTGCCTTGGCAGTGACCAACGTGCCCAGAGGAATGCCACCTCATTAGTAATTTCTTTCTATCTGATACAGGTCCCTTTAGCCTCATAGCTTTCAGTGGAGTCAATCCTGTAACATATTGAATTTTTTCTTTGTTTTTGAGGATCTCTGTGATTGTCGAGTGCAACACACCTCAGTCACAAAATACTGTTCATGGATTGTCCACCCTTGTGTGCTATCATCTTTGGCTGCTATCACTAGCACTTGTATTTGCTGAATCGCGGAGCCATGATGCGCTTCATGGTAATATTTTCTAAAGGAAATTACATAAAAATGATGCTACAACACTCAAGAGACACACAAGATATGAGGTTGGAAGCTGCTGCGTACGAAGCATACACCATTATTCAGAGATGGTACAGAACTGGGCAAAAGGGGCGATATGAGACGACTGTTGTTAAGTGCCGCTGAATTGGTTCTGACCCACAGCAATACTGTGTAGGGTTTCTGAGGAGTACCTGGTGGGTTTGAACTGCTGACCTGGCGACTCATACCAACCTTGAGGTCGAATGCTTATCCTATAGTGCCACACCAGGACTCCCATGATTTGACTTTTGTTGTGAAATGCTGCCATCAAGTCGGTTCTGTCTCATAACGACCTTGAAGGGTCTCTGAGGAGTGACTGGTTTGAACTGCTGAGCAGTCCAATGCTTACCCTACAGTCCACACCAGAATTCCATGATTTGATGAGATGGCACCAAACAACATACCTAATCCAGTAACAGATAATCTGTATTACGTATTGCAGGTTACATATCTGTACTGTATGAGCAATTAGGTGAAATAGTACATATCCATTGGAGTTCTGGTGTGGTGCTGTAGGATAAGCACTGGACTGCTAACCACAAGGTCAGTGGTTCAAACCCACAAGCTGCTCCTCGGAAACCCTATAAAGGGCCCCTATGAGTTGGAACCAACTCAACAGTATTTAACGTTATGTACTATATACATACCTGGTAGAGCAATTACTTTGAGTACACGAAACATGAGAGATACATGTTGTGTGCAGGAGGCTGTTGGGTTCCTTAGTCCCATTCTCCAATTAGGATTTCTGAACTCTACTGTAACCTTATGAGAACACAGATGTATATGTAGTCAGACGTTGCCCAAATGGATGTTAGTCAATGCACAACTGTACTTTTTTCTCTCTTAATTATTCCAAATTTCTAAAATTTGCCATTCCTCTGGGTATTTTATAACTACTGCCAAGGATTTGTTGTTGCTAAGTGCCGTCGAGTCGATTCCGACCCATAGCAACCCTGTACAGGGTTTCCGAGGCTGTAAATCTTTACGGGAGCAGACAGCCTCACCTTTCTCCCACAGAACTGCTGGTAGTTTCGAACTACTGACCTTGTGGTTTGCAGCCCAATTAGTAACCACTACACTGCCAAGAATAAATTTTGTTAATGATTTTGCTTTCAAAGCTGTCATCATCTGGTCTTTAAAATTCCAGTGCAGTCCCCATTCCCAGTAAGTCTGTATTATTGTTAGGTACCACTCATTCGAGTCAGACTCAGAGACCCTTACAGGGTTTCAGAGGAGCGACTGGTAGGTTTGAACCTCTGACCTTGAGGTTAGCAGTCCAGTGCTTATCAAATACCTACAGCACTGCACCAGTACTCCAATGGATATATAGTACATCAGCTAACTGCTCATAGCAATAGTTAGCACAGTTATTGTTCTGGAGCCTTCTATAAGATCTTAATTGTTTTTACAACTTTATCAGTATGCTATTTTTACTTACTAAGTCTTAATTTTACTCACCTTGCTGCCTTCACATTAATTAGTGAGTTATTACATTTTGAAAAACTAGTACCAGTAATTGATTGTGTAATAAAGAAAAAGAGAACTACCCCCAGCAGGATGGATTGGCACAGTGGCAGCAGCATTGGGCTCAAACGTAGCAATGATTCTGAGGTTGGCCCAAGCCTGGGCAGTGTTCTGTTCTGTTGTACATAGGGACACTATGAGTTGGTACCGACTCGATGGCACCTAACAGCAATAATACTAGTAGCATGTTACTGGCTACATTAAAGCAACAAGAAGTTTCAACATTACACCTGACCTCTCATCCAGATAACCAATACAGGATTTGATATCATTAAACCTTAAAACCATTTAAAGTCCTAGCAACTGAATGGTCTAGATTCAGACTGTAATTAAATTCTCATCTATTTTGAATTTTCTGGTGATGTAAATGATCTCTACCATATACACCCCAGCATCCTCTATTTCTTTTTCCAAAGTTCTATGAAAAAATTTCCCTTTCCTCCTTTGTTCGAATATCTATATTTTCTCTTTAAAGAGTCAATTTAAATTGTTAATAGCTAACTATGGGATCTATACACATTATAATCATTTTTTATCTGTAGTTTAACCTAGCTCTAGGAAAAAAATTGGTGTGAAGCTTCATGTGTTTGTTGTTCCCGTTGGCTACACAGCGTACGTAATATATAACAATGTATGAAAAGCTTCGCCTCTTGAGGGCAATGATTCATCTTAAAGAACCAAACACCGTAGAAAAGAAAAAAGGTGTTTTGCAAAAGTTTTATTTTAAAGGATCAAAAATAAATATTGCACATTTACACAAGAGAAAATCCACTGCTATTTACGTTCTCTGATGCACAGTTTTCAATACATGGCACCTTCATCTTCTTTATTTAGAAAATAAACTGTTATTGGTCCATAACTGGTATGCACAGTCTCAGTGACTCTTGCAAATAGCCAGGAGCCAAGTCCATACAATAAAGTTGGAATTCCTAGAAAACAAATGAATATGTTATTTATAAACACTGATAATACTTATTAATCAGGTACCCATACATTTGTCATAAATATAAATCAGAAAACACTCTTCAGTAATATCAATAAATTACAGTTAGAAAAGGTAGTAAAATATTATTCAACACTGACTATGATTATCTAAGAGTTAAGCTTTGTCTGTTTGTGAAACATGATGACAACTGAGTTAGCCTAGGGATTTTTAAAACCATAGACAAGGCTGATACAAGTTTTCAGCCAAAGGACTTTACAAGCACTAATTTATTACCTTCAAATAACTATGAAGTAACTTCAAGATAAGAACTAGACTGAGAACCACAAGGTTGGTGGTTTGAATCCACCAGCCACTCCAAGTGAGAAAGATGAGGCTTTCTGCTCCCACAGATTTTCAGTCTTGGAAACCATATACAGGGTTGTTATGAGTTGGAATCAACTCAATGGCACTTAACAACAACAATTCTATATTCTTTTCACAAATAAAGAGAAGAATATCATTAATTTAGTTGTAGATGCTCCTGCTTTTAGGCTTGAGCTTAAATTTCTAGGTCAACTTTATCTTTCTTTAAATTAGACAGTAGCACTGCTGGCTAAAGCAATTTTTGTACAACTTAAAAAGAACTGGGTCAAAAAGTTGTTTTTCAAAACCTAAGGTAAAATGTAACTCTAAGGAAAATTTTAATAACAGGAATGATAAAGAAATATTCTCTGTAATTTATAACTGACTTGACAACAATCTTGTTTTATGAGGCTTCTTCTTTGGAATAGTTCATTTGGTAAGATTTTTCTTATGGTTGAGATTACAAATAATTGCCATTTGTAATACATGAAATTAAGCACATACTATGTGGGTATTGGATTAAACATCTATATGAATATGATACTATTAGACTCAAGACAAAGTTTCGCAATGCTAAACTTTTTTTAAGGCATTTATGTGGTACTATGGAATAAACACTGGACCACCAGGTCAGTTAGTCCAAACTGGTTCAAACTCACCAGCTGCTCGGAAACCCTAGACAGGGTCAATATGAGTTGGAACCAACTTGACGGCACTTAACCAGAACAATTCAAATGAACAGATTAAAAACACATGTATAGGATCACAGACCCATGAATCAATATTGTATGCTCTGTACAAGTATTAATCTTATTGCTTCCTTGTTGGAGTTGTTTAGAAAGTGGATTTAAAAGGACAGCTGTACATTTGGAAAATCACTTTTTCTAGTTAACAGGGAAATGAACACATGCTCAAAATTAATCATACTGTTAAATTTTTTCTTGTTTTTCTGCCAAGAGGATATTTGCTGTGCTGTGCTGTTTTTGAATGAGTGCATACACTGAACTACTTGAGCTTATCTCCTGAAGCAGCAGTCCAGCCACAGTGATGCCAGAAATGAATCAGGAGAGGTATCACTAACTGGCAGTGAAAAAAAAGAGGGGAATCAAAAAAGTTAATTCAGGCTCACAGCTATTTTTAGGAATATGTATACTGGGTCATACTTTGTCACTTTTACATATTTCTATGAAATCTTGCCAGTATAGAATTTGTTGCCTGGTTAATGCGCCAGACTGCAAAGTCGTTTGAATCACAAGGTCAGCAGTTCAAGCTCACCAGTCGCTCCTTGGAAACCCTATACAGGGTCACTATGGGTCGGAATTGACTCGATGGCCCTTAACAACAATACTCTAAAGAATCTCTAGTTCCTTAATGGAATGTCACCAGAAAACCTATTACAATTATAAGGCTATTTACAAATCATGAAACCAAAAGAAAAAAAGTAAATCAAAGAAAGTGGTCTGGAAGAAGAGGGGTGGACAAGGGAAGAACAGGAAGATAATAGAAGGGAAAAGGGAGGAGTGCAGAGAGCAGGTACAACCATAAATAAATGTAAAACGTGGTCTTACAATACGAACAGCTAAAAACCATAGAAGTACGCCAGGAAAAACAAGGCTTGAGAAGTAATTATTAATTATCTAAATATACTGAGAATAAAATACATAAAATATACCTTTTAAACCAATACTAAGGATATAAATTTAAGGAGTGGTTGGTGACACCTAAGGATTGTTTTGCAGTTAAAATAGGATCCGTTTTTAGTTAAAATACTGATACTGTAAAAAAAATCATACTTTTGAAAAATAACATAAATCGCTAGTATCTGTAAGCTAAAATGGGAGAGCTGATAATAGATTCTTTAGCTCAATAATAGCTACAATATTTGTTATTAAGAAAAACTAGGAACCATTATTAATAATGCTGTTTAACAATGGTTGGAGTCCTGATATAGGAGCCAGAAATTCCTGTTTTTTCCTACCGTCTATTTATTTAATTGGAGTGCTTGTCAGCACAACAATACACTAAATGGAAAGATTTGCCCCCTATGCAATTTATACATTAAAAAAACCCATAATAATCTTTAAACATATGTTTAAGTCTAGAAAATCCCATGAAACAAATTCAAAATGGATTTGAAAGTCAGTTCTATGCGTAATCATTCATTTTAAGTCAGCTGAACAGTAGGTAAACTTCTGTCAAATTAAGCACTTAAAAAAAATGAGAGCTTCCATAGCAAGTCTCCGATTACCCATTCATTCCAATGGTGAGTTGCTTTTCTTAAATCTCAATCTACTTCCCAGCAGGACAGATACCCAGTCTGATAAACCATCAATAAAATGTCAGTGTCTACTGAAGGGAAGGCAGAGGAGAAAGCGAACACATGGATAACACAAATCTTTATTATTTTCAAAATGGTAAAATGAATTACTCTGAGAGTTACTAATTTAGAAAGGAACAAGAGGACTAAAACCTTATATATTCATATTATATATACTTGATGTTTCAGAGGGCAAGTGTACATCACAAAATAGGAACTGATTCTCTCATTTAATTCACATTCCCATCTTTAGAAAAAAATTAAAAGTACCAATTTGGTGATTACAACACTCTTTAAAAAGTCCAGAGACTAATTCCCCTGATCAGTATAAGCCAATCTGCATGAAAATATTCACCAGCAACATGTTTGCCTTTTTGCTTAATTTAAAACTTATTCCCATTTAAGTGGGACTTTTTGAATATTCACAGGCATAGAGTTAGTTAGCATGTTGCTGTTAAGTGTTGAGTTGGTGGTTTCAACTCATAGGGACCCTGTATGGGATTTCCCAGGAATGGCTGGTGGGTTTGAACCGCCGACCTTTCAGTTAGCAGTCCAGTGCTTATCTTAAAAGTCCAGTAAGTCTTTGGCCTTTTCTGCATAAAAAGCTAACTAACTGCTGTGCTTCTCTCCTCAAATGGCTGACTTTTCTATGTGGAGAACATTGTAGGTATCCTACCTACCTCAGCTCCCTCTCCATTTATACGTATATTTAAAAGAGAACCCTCTAGTTATTAAGGTGTTCTTAACCGTGTAAGGTTTTAAATGGTAGCAACTTTAAAAACAACAAACACACATTCAGTTAATGATTTAGCTATAACCCTTTAATTTTTTTTCTAAATTGATTATTTCTTACATTTGGGAAGAATAATTTCTTTGGCTTCAGAGAATCTTAGTATAAACTTGTTCTTCTTCTTGAATCTAGCCACCACTCCAGTCTGTCCAAGTAATTCATATAACTTTGAGTTTGGTTTTCTAGATCACCTCACCCCTCAACTCTTTATCAACCTCAAAATGAGTTATTTTCTTTCTATACAATCCCCGTAAAGAGCTCTGGTAGCGTAGTGATTACGATTCTACCAGCTGTTCCACGGGAGAAAGATGTGGCTTTCTACTCCCGTAAAGATTTACAACCTCGGCAACCCTGTACAGGGTCACTAGGAGTCGGAGTCGGAACTGACTCCACGGCACATAACAACAACAATACAATCCCCATGGCAAATTATAAGGCATTTAAAAAAAGAGTACACATTCTCCATAATCATTGCCATACTGTACTGAACCAGGGCAGTCCCACTGAAGCATTGGCTGAAAAGCCTATGGCTGAGTTATTATAAACAAAAATACACATACAACATTTAAATTTAATCAGATTGCTAATTCAGCTGCACAGGAGTTTAGTTTAAAAAAAAAAACACAAAACCACAAAACTGATTGGGTAACATGCTTTAGGCCCATGTCTAGATTTGGAATTACTAAAATTTGGATTAATTTGATATTAATAGGTTCAAAACGTCTCAAGTCATCTTTCACTAACATATAAATAGGTCGATGTTCATGCCTCTCTTGAAAATTCAAATTCAAAAGAAACATAGATACCTAGCAGGACCAACTTCTCTCAAAATCAGAATATTTCCATTAAAACATACAAATAATAAAGAGGAAGAGTCTTTTAAATATCTTTTAGGTCCAGCATCTAAAGAAGCGAATGTGTCTGGCAAAACGTTTAGTGCTTTTATTAAAAACAAATTTGCTGAGATTCATATAAAGACAACAAAGAAACTAAAACGCACAACATGGTGTTCAGGGGAATACACCCTGCCATTCAGTGATACATTGTTAACTTCAGAGGCCCTCTCCAGTGGGCATGTTTGCTTACAAGCCCCTTTCTCCCTCCTCTCCAGTGTCCCCAGCCCCAGTTAACCGGAAGTGAGAGTGGAATGCCCCTCCCCAGAAATGATGCAGGGTGGTCTCTCAGGCCAGGTCTGTGGTTGATAGACAGTCTGTAGGCTGAAACGGGAGGACGATTCAGTAGTCAGCAATTTAACCCTAACTGCTAATGGGAAGGCCGGGAAGATACAAAAGGGCAAAGTTAAAGTCCAGGCCTGCGAGGCTGGCGCTGGGACTGGGGACGAGGGATGCAGGGTCTGCGAAGTGGAGCATCTCGGTGCAGGGCCCGGGTGGTGGCCTCGGTGTTCGGACGTTTGTCAGCGTGCTTTGTAAACGGTGGGCGTTACTCGGCGCTTCGTGAGCCTCAAGGCGGCTCGTGCTTCCCGGGGGCGGGCACTGGTCGCAGCCTGGGCCACTCACCGAGGTTGATGACCTTGAGCACCGTGAAGAACCGGTTCTGCCCGGCCAGGTCCTGCCAGGGAGCCTTGGAGCAGTGGTACTTGATGAAAGGGAAACAGCCAGTGCGCAGGATGTGGTAGTTGGCGCCCTGCACGGGCCAGTTGAAGTGCGAGAGGCCGAACTGGTCGTTGTGGACTGCGCTGTAGGGTACGCAAAAGGAGGTCCAGTGCGGCAGGCGCCGCTGCAGCAGGTGCCGCGTCAGCACCTCCGAGGCTCGGGGCTTCGGGCCGGAGGTGGAGCCCGAGACCCAGGGGCCACACAGCAGCAGCCGGAGCGCGGCCTCATGGACCCTCCGCAGCGCCTCCATGGCCGGCCTCGCCGGGGAGGCGGGCCTGTTCCCGCGGGTGCCGCTGGGCGCGCGCTGCCGGGGCGGAGCCTCCGGGTGCGCGTGCCCAACCCTTGTGTGGAGCCGCAGAAACGCCCTCTAGCCCCGAGTAGGTGCGCCCCCGCGTAGGTGCGCCCTCTAGAACAACGGGATGGGTACGCGCACAGGCCCCGCGGCCAGAATTGAGTGGAGTGGGTTCTTAGAAGCGGAAAAGTGACGCGCTCAGGATGGGGGACACTAGTACAGAAAAGACAATTACATTGTCACATATGACCTCATGTAGTCATAATATGCATGTGAAATTGGGACGGTGTTTAAGGTGAGTTATGGTGTTAGAAGACGATATTAAAGTAGCATGGACTGCCAGAAGTACAAACAAATCTGCATTGGAAGAAGTCCAGCCCTGAGTGCTCTTTAGAAGCCAGGATGGCCAGACTTTGTCTCTCATACTTGAGACATGAGGAGAGACCAGTCCCTGGGAAAGGACATCATGTTAGGTAAGATTGAGGGTCAGTGAAAAAAAGGAAGACCACTAACGAAATGGATTGCCACAGTGGCAGCAGCACTAACATCAACCTTAAAGATTTTGACGATGGCACAGGATGGGATAGAGTTTCGTTCTGTTGTGTCACTGAGTGGCAATAGACTCGATGGCACTTAATAACAGTGAATTTGGGGAACACCTTTGTGATTGGTTCCCCATGCTTTTGTTTGCTGTTTAAAATTGTTGTAGACGTTACCCACATTACCTCAAAAAAATTCTTTACAAGTGGGATGTCCCATAGCTCTACTGTGCAGTACCCAGAGGCCTAGACGCACCACCATTTGGCCTTTGTTCATAACCCTCCTCTGCCACTGAGTAGATTCCAACTCATAGCAATGGGACAGGACAGAGTAGAACTGCCTCTGTAAGTCCTTATGGAGGCACACAGCCTCATCTTTCTCCCCTGGAGTGACTGGTGGGTTTGAACCACTCACCTTGCAGCCCCTAACTGCCCCACCAGCATACCTTTTTCATAACCCTCAGTCACCCATTATCGATGTATGACTTTAGGAAAACTTTTTCTCACACTTTGAAGCCTGGAGGTAGAAACATATATACCTACTTTCTAAGGAAAACTGTATTTTGGAGAAACTTTGTATCACTATGCATGCGAAAGCTGAGCAGTGAATAAGGAAGACCGTAGAGGAATTGATGCTTTTGAATTGTGGTGTTGGAGGAGAATATTGAAAGTACCATGGGCTGCCAAAAGAACCAATAGATCTGTATTGGAAGAAGTGCAGCCAGAGTGCTCCTTGGAGGGCAGGATGGACAAACTTCATCTCTCAAACTTTGGACATATTATCAGAAGGGACCAGTCACTGGAGAAG